AAATCACACACACGAGTAGCTTAAAGAAAAAAGAATAAGACAAACATATCTCCATCCTCCCATCCAACTTAACAAGTAGAGCATTTACTGATGCTTTTGAAGCCCCTGTCAGTTCTCCATATCACATCCCCCCTTCTCCCTGACAGAAGTAATCACTCTGATTTGGCTTCTCATCCCTTCTTTTTCTCTTCCTAGTTTTGCCATCTCTCCATTCCTGAACAATGTATTATTTAGTTTGAATGATTTTGAATATTTTCATATGCAGTCAAACAGACAACATCCTTCTTTAATTTGTCCTTTTAAATCAGCATTATGCTTGTTAGCATTTTAATTGTTGAGTAGTATCCCATTGTGTGAATAGACAAAACTGTTTACTTATCCATTCTCTTGTCTATGCACATCTGGGTGGTTTCCAGTTTTTGGCTGCTATGGACATTTTTGTTCTTATGTCCTATAGCACATGAGCAAGAATTCCTGTAGGATATATTCTTTGGAATGGAATTTCCAGGTCATAGTATTCCACTTTACTAGGTAATAACTCATTAACTATTTTCTGCTTAGTTCAAAAGGGCCAGGGTTGGGCGCCTGGGTGGCTCAGTTGGTTAAGCGACTGCCTTCGGCTCAGGTCATGATCCTGGAGTCCCAGGATCAAGTCCCGCATTGGGCTCCCTGCTCAGCAGGGAGTCTGCTTCTCCCTCTGACCCTCCCCCCCCTCATGCTCTCTCTCTCTATCTCATTCTCTCTCTCAAATAAATAAATAAATAAATCTTTAAAAAAACAAAAAACAAAAGGGCCAGGGTTGCCAGATTTAATAAATAAAAATACAGGATGCTCAGCTAACTTTGAATTTCACATAGACAACCAATACTCTTTTAGTGTTAGTATGGTCCATGCAAAAGTTATATTTCATCTGGCAACCGTAACAAGGTCAGTAAACTTTACCAAATCACAAACATTGGCCAACAAAGTGTGAGGGGGTGGTAGAGTATTTGGTCCTTTTTTCCTCTGCCAGAGCAGCCAACCCAGTTGTTAGCTCAGAGGGCTCAAATGCTTGCTAACCAGTATGCGGGTAATTAACTGGCTGAACCAATATGTATACGGCATCAACTTGATGCCAGGCAGGTGCTAGACTTTGGGAATACAACTATAAACATGACAGACAAGGTCTTTGTCCTCCCTAGGCAGGGAAATGGACAGCGGGGAAATGATGTATGCACTATGCCAGCAGTGGTATGCTGGTGAGGGAGCCCTGATTTGTAGCTTTGATGACTTTGGAGTTGTAAATACTGATTTCAAGCTACCAGTGTGACATCACTGAACTGAGTTGGGGAGAGATGTACACAATCTGCTCTCTGCGCAGTATGAACTGGTTCTAGCACCCCGCTGTATGGGAGAATACTTAGAAAGGACACTTCATCCATTCTCTGGGCTAATTTCTGATTGTTTTGGGGGAAAGGAACTTAGATATTAATTATTTCCTCAAATTTAGAAGGAATCAAATGGTAAGAAGTATAAAATGCGTTTATTATATCTATAGTATTGTCTGCTTTGCAAATATTTTTACTATGATGTATAAATGGAGTCTAATAAACATAGTTGTAAATTATGATCAGTGTATAGATTAGGACTCAGATATTCCCTTTTGTATATGACCTATCAGCAGACCCTTGAAGACCTTTTTTCCTGCATTGCTCCCTCACCTGTATCCCAGTTCACTGATCATCATTCATTCATTCCACAAACACTGACAGAGCCCTTGGTCTGTGCCAAGCACAGTACTAAGGGCTTGAGTCTCTCCTCATGGAGCACTCAATTCTCAGGAAGAACATTTTCCCCAGTTCATCCTGATTCTTTCTGGGCAGGTTTACTGCATTCTCCTTTTACTTGCTCAGTTCACTCCTGTGTTCTCATGCTGGCTTTCCCTCTGGGAATATTTCCCAAAGAACCTTGTCAAAACCCCCCTTTCAATGCTCTTTCCTTGCTTTTCTTTCAATTTCTCCTTCCGCAGAGTGGCAGGTGTTCTTGCTGTCTGAATCTGGACTCTCCTGACTATTCTGTACCTTGTGCTATTGTGCAAGTTATCACTCTAGCCATCCCATCTCTATCAAACAATTTTTGAATGTCTATGTACTAGCTGATGTGCAAGATATGGGAGCCTCTACTCACCCTTGAAGTTTTCATTTATCATAATCATTTCATAAAATTACATGTTTGTATAATTTTAGTTTTAATTACTTAAAAATGATCCATTGTACCAAGTTTGGAAAATCATAAAGGAGGAAAGAAAAATTATCTAATCTCAGACCCAAGGCTAGCTATTATTAACTGTTTGGGGTACATCCTTGTAGTCATTTTTTATATATGCTTATACACAAATTGGGATCATACTCACTTTTTCACGTACTACAGTGTGAAAATTTTATCTATTTCAGTATTCTTTGAAAACCTGATTTTAAATGATGGCATGGTATTCCATTTTCAGGCTAAGCCATGGCTTATTTAATTAGCTCCCTACTGCTGGCAGTAGCAGTAGCCTCTTTACAAGTAAGTTAGTGTTGGTGATCTTTAACATAAACCGCAAGAAAGCAGGAACCAATCATTCAATTGTCCTTCCTAGGCAGCATTCATAACAATATATCTGAATTGGATTATGTTTATGCTGTGATCCTCTACTTACCATTTAAAATAAAAGGAGCAAACTTGCCTAAAATGTAACCTGGGTTGGTATAAAGATAACCTGAAGCTGTGGAGAAGGTTGGGAGGAAGATAACCTACCATCAGATCTCTTTGGTTGGGTTTTGTTTACTACTGGAGAGGAGCTAAGCTCTGTATGAAGTCTAGGCATTGGTAGGCACTTTAGAGATCACCTAGTGATGCTAACCTCTTTTCACAGATGAGGAAATTGAATCAAGAGGGATTGTTACCTGCTGAGACTAATACCCAGGTGTCTTGACTTCCTCTGTCCTATGCTCATTTCACCACAGTCAGCTAAGCTTAGTCTTAAAATACAGAAAGATCATACATTTACCTATATGTCCTTTAGAGAAACTCTGCTTCCCCTTAGAGTGCATGTACTTTGGTATAAAAGTCCAATAGTAAGGTTCTAGGTATGTATCCAAGAGAAAAGAAAGCCTATGTCCACACAAACACTTGTTCTTCTTTTTTTAAAAGACTTTATTTATTTGACAGAGAGAGACACAGCGAGAGAGGGAACACAAGCAGGCTTCCTGTGCAGCAGGGATCACAATGTGGGGCTCGATCCCAGGACCCTGGGATCATGACCTGAGCCGAAGGCAGACGCTTAACAATTGTGCCACCCAGGCACCCCACACACAAACACTTACAGGAGGGAAAGTTCACAGTAGCACTATTTGTAATAGCCTGAATGTGGAAACAATGCAAATGTTCATCAACAGGTGAACAATACAAAGAGGGGTATATTCATACAACGGGATACTCAGCACTAAGAAATATAAACTGTGAAGTGCAACAATGTAGATGAAACTCAGTTATGTTGAGAAAAAGAAGCTAAACAAGTACAGACTATGATTCCATATATCTAAAATTCTGGAAAATGCAACTAAGTGACAGAAAGCAGATGTGTGGTTACTTGGGGGTGGGGCTGGAGTGCAAGAGGAACATCAACAGGGTAGAGGAAACTTTGTGGAGACTGATGGATATATTATCTTGCTTGTAGAATTGGTTTCAGGGTTGTATACACATCAAAACTTATATTGTACACTTTAAATGTGTTTATTGTATGTCAGTTATACTTCAAAAAGTTGTTTAATTTGTGAGATCTGCCTCCTAAGTTTGAAAAGCACAACATGACTAAAAACTCACTGAAGAATCTGAAGCATAAGAAACCTAAAATTACTTCTGGAGAAAACTGACAACCAAGGTTCTATTCTAGTATGATAGTTTATCTGAACACAACATTACTGTGAGAAATGCAAAGTCATAAAAATAAAAAATAGAAATGACATTTTTGTCCTCCTGGTAATCACACCATTTCCTCCTGTCTATATGCAGTTGCTCTATAACATAATCTGTTTAGTGTTCTATTCAATTTGGTTTTTTAGAGAGCAATAACCTTGTTGTATTTTTCCTGAACTATTAGACTGCTCTTTTATGAACAAGATGCCCAATCCCTGGTGTGTCTTACGTGTGTGGGTGTGTAGAAAGCTACACTGTATCTATAAATTTTAGCAAATGCTGTAATTTGCTTTGGGATTTTGTAGTCGGGACTCAGCAGTGGCATGGAAACAAATTGGAACTTTCTAGAAACCATGCCCTCTTCCACAAGATGAACATTGGATAGTTTCCCTAAATATGCGAATTAATCAAAATTTTCTATTTTGATGTCCATTTACTGTTTTTAAAAAAAAGAACTGCTATATCACATACACAGTGCACAACACCGGTAAAGATTCTTTCTCTTTTTAGAAAACATTCATAAAGTTTTATTTTCACCCGCCCTCGCCCCCGGCTTAGTTTCTTAGCTCTTTTATTCGGTAATCACTCCCATTCTGCAGACGCGGAGACGCACGCAGGTTTTTATGCACAGTACAGAGGGACAAGAAAGAAGCAACTCTTAACTTTTCAGTTCCATTTTGAGAAATGATCACATCGAACTCCTGCGAACGACAGCCCAGCGAGAGCAGAAGCATTTCTCCCCAGGCTGGGTGTGGGTCGGGAGCCAGGCGCGCTTCCGCGGGAGGGAGGGGGGTGGCGGTGTCAGGTGGCATCGGAGCGGGAGCCGGAGCCCGAGCGACGCGGCGGGGGCGCGTGCGGGGTGCGCCTCCCTCCGGCCGGCGCGGGGAGACCGCCCCCGCGCACGCGAGTTCGCCGGCCCGGGGCTCCCGCGCCGCGCTGCGATCCGCGGGTGCGCCAGGGGCGCCCGGCGCCCGCGTCTCCTCCCTCCCTCGCGCGCTGGCTCCCTCTCCATCCCCCCCCGCCCCCAACCCCTGGCAGGTCCCTCCCCCCTGCCTGCTCCCGCGGCCGCCGCCGCCGCTACCGGAGGCGCAGGAGCCTCGCGATAGTGTTTGCACAGGCGGCGCGTGACGCCGCCGCCGCCGCCTGTAACTGATGCAGAGGTTACCCCGCCGCCTCAGCCGCCACCCACCGCCCGCCGCCGCCGCCACCCAAGCGACGCCGGGGGCCGACGCACTGCAGAGGTGCCGGCAGGTTCCGCTCGCGGAAGTGTCCTCGGCCGGCGCAGCCCGCGCTCCGCCTGCACTCCAGCGGGCGCCCCCTCGACGCCTCCGCCGCCGCGCTTCTTCCCTCCGCCTCTTCCCCGGCGCGTCCGCCTGCTCCCTCGCTTCTCCCCCTTTTCCTCCTCCCCGTCCCCTCTCCTCCCCTCACCTCTTCCCTCCCCATCTCCCCCCCCTTCTTGGTTTCCTCCCCATCCCCTTGACTCTCCCCTCCCTGCCCTCGCTCCCTCGCTCGCCCTCAGCGCGGCCCCCGCCATGACGGAGGCGGGTGCCGGTGCCGTTGCCGCCGCTGCCGTCGCAGGGGGGGAGTCGGGTTCCCAGAAAGTAGCTTGATGAGTGTCCAAAGTAGCAGTGGAAGTTTGGAGGGGCCGCCATCTTGGTCCCAGCTCTCCACGTCTCCAACCCCGGGCTCGGCGGCGGCGGCCAGGTCCCTGCTGAATCACACGCCGCCATCCGGGAGGCCCAGGGAAGGTAAGCGCCGTCGCGCCCGCGCCCGCTCGCGGGCCTCCTCTCCCGCGCCGCAGCCCCCGCGCCCCCCGGGTCTCTTCCCCCGACCCCAGGGTGGGGGATGGTGGCGAGGTGGACGCGAGGCCGCCCGGCTCCGGGGAGGTAGTGCGCTGGCTGTGGGTGGTGGTTCGCGGGTGGCAGCGGAGACGGACGAGGGGGTGCGCGCTGGAGGGGACGGGGCGAGGCGCGCAGACTCGTCTGGGGTTCCTAAGAGCCAGTACTGCTAGGGTGAGAAGCCTCCCCCCGGACGCCAACCCCTTTCTGCTCCATTTGCTAGTACACTCAGTACTCTTAACCTCCTGGCCTCCGGTCTCTGGTGGGTTTTCCCTCCCGTTGAAGCATTCATCCTTGAGCCCCCTCCCCTTCCCTCGCGCACTCCTCCCATAGAGGCGGTCCCGGCTCTGCGAGCTTTGCAGCCCGGGACCTGAAGGATGCCCTCGCTAGCAGGGTCCCTGCCCTTTGGGGAGAGTCGCTTAAATTATCAAAGCCGACTTTGATCCCCTGTCTGGCCCCTTAGAGCAATTTAAACGACAGACTGACTCGTGGGCAGGCTTTTAAAACCACCTCCTCCAGATGGCTGCAACTTTCTCTCCTTCGCCATCACCTCCTGCGTGTTTGTGCGTTATCGCTCTTCTGCAAGTAGGCTACTGTTCTCTGACAGGGTGGTGGGTTTTGTGGGAAATACCGGCGTAAAGGTTAATGCAAACACGCACCAGATCGGTTACAATTGTTTTCTAAGTTTTCTGGTTTCTTGCATGCAAGTGTGCTGCCACCAGATGTAGCAGTTACACAGCTAGTAAGATACAGGAGTGCTTTTTGACTAAAATTTCAACTTGCTGTATTTAACTTTAAGTATACGACATAAAATGAAATTTGGGAGAACGCTCATTTATGAAGGAAGAATAAATGTGCATGGAATCGCATTTAATGCTCTTTTGTCTGGGGAAACGTTTAGCGGTATTCATCAGCAATTGGTAAATGGGTTGTTCACTCCCAGTTGTGTCACACAAGGAGACTGTAGCCACATTTTCAGAAAATGTCTGGAAGTCCAAGAGTCTGGTGAATCCTTCAAAGAAACCAGGAGCTATGATTTATGTAGGCAATGGTGGGGTTAATTTATTTTGAAAATATCTGTCAATATTTACTACCCAGCCTTGACAATTGTTAATCAAGTGTTTTGTGCTCTGAATCTAGTGGTTCAGGCATAGCATTCTTTGTCATTTTGTTCCTGTGAGCATGTGTGAAAGTGACAATAGGCTCAAAGATTGGCGTGAATTTGCTCCAGAAAATTCATGGAAAGGTTTGATTTATGGCATCCATTAAACATGCTGAACACACTGACAGACATTTTCCCTCTTTTCCATCTCACCCCCAACACTGAGTTCTGATTATTAGAAGACAAAAGTTTATTTATTGACTAATTCAAATTTAGTATATCTGGAGATTTTTCTTTTTGCACTTGAAAATTTGTAAATGAATGTTTCAAAATGTATTTTGAACATAGAGCAGTTGATGCTTTTAGCATGCTTCTATTTTTGTAGTTTCATTAAGATGCTTAATGATAGTGTTATCAGTGATAGTGTAATGAGTGATGGTAAGTGATGGTCTTGGGAAAGCCTGTCTTTTTTAAAGGCTTTACCCTTTTTCCATTCTTTCATTTCTCAGATATTTATTGAGCCATTTCTGTGAGCCAGGGACTGTACTAGATACTGGGGACATAGTGTTGAATTGTTCATCTGTAACATCAGTTATCAGTGTTAGTAATTTGGGGGCTGCAAAATCTAGATTGTGAGTTTCTGAGGTTACTTTAACTGTAGTTAAAAAAAACTTCTGTACTATTCTGCACTTTTCCTGATGTTTGAAAATTTTGAGGGGTTGGAATAATTTAGCTTGAATTTCCAAATAAACAGAATTCTTTCTAGAAGTTTGGATTACAGTAGGCTTTTATGTAAAGTAAATTGGTGAATCTTTTGTTAATGAAATAAGACATGCTTTTGTGATCGTTATATTTCACCAAGTACCTCTATGGCCACAGTGGTATATTTCTTTTTGACCGACCAGTATGTAAGTTAAAACTGTGTTAATCTTCTCTAGGGATATATATATTTATCTTGAAGATATAGTCTCAGATATCATTAATGCTAACAGGAATTGCGTATATGAAACCCTAGACATAATGATGGGGACATTTTCTATTGAGTGAGATCCTAGTTTTCATTTTAACAAGTGTTTAGCATCTCTTGCAGGTATCCACATTAGTATATTATATAAATTGATGTAAGTTGAGAGAGCTTTGGACTTACGGTGATTGTTAGTAAGAATAGTTAATATTAGTGGAACTTGAATATATGTATCAAGGTGAGAACAAACTGTTTCTGAAAAATTGAAGCAATTTAATGTAATATATGATAGAAAAATTTAAACTTAAAAGATACATATGTGTGTGTACATGTATTTTAAAGTTATGTGATAAACTGCTTTTAAGCAAACTTAACTTTGAAAATGGGCTGTTTTTGAAGATGTATCATAAATATCTGTAAAAATTGATTATTTTGAAGTTTTGATGTATTTGAAACCAAAAATCCAATATTATAATCTATTTTCAGTGCTGCGTATTTTGACTTTCTTCCTTTCTCACCCTGTTCTCATTCTCATCTTATTATAGTTTTACTTGATTACAAATAAAATACACTTTTAAATATTAAAAGATCTAGGAATTTGTTGGAATTTAGGAATTTGTATGATATAGTGTAGACAGCTTCTTTTCCTGAATCCCAAAGCTTTTCTTTTATCAATCTTGAAGTTCCCTGAGAGGTGCTCAGCAGTGTAGCTCTAGATTTCATGTTGGATCTCTTAAACATGTGATTTCTGTCCCATTTTATCTTCTAATAATCCTGTGATTAAGGAAATGGGAAGTGAAGAAATTAAGTAAATTTTCAAATAGAAGTCAGTGTTGCTCTCCTGAGACCTAGGAACCCAGTGTCATACTGGCTAGATGAGCAGATGGGGTTTTTTTGGCCTGTCAGTACATGGTTACTTTTAAATTAGTTATTGCTAAGAATCAAATGATTATACAGAAGACTTGCATTTTCTTTTCTGTTCTATTTTACCAGATATGAATAATTTAATAATTTTATGTAAATAGTGAAAGTAGTTTGGTTAAAAAGATAATGTCACAGTGTAACTAAACTGTTGCTCTGTTTTCATGTTTACAGACTGCATCCTTTAGAAGAATTAAAGTATTTGACTCTGGATGATTGAGTAATACCTACCTGTAGGGAGTTGTTAAAAGTAAAGGTATACCAAATGGCCTTTTAGTTTCTTGAAGTCACTAGCTGGAGGAGGACAGGGTTTTATGTTTAAGGATTTTAGCTTATGAATAGATCCATGGTAGATGCTTCCTTTATAGAGGTACATTTACGTGTTAGCGGAGAGAGAAAAGGAAAGAATCCCAGAATTTAGTTAGCTGTCTGGGAATCTGTCCTTGGGAAACAGGTTTTTTGGTCTCAGGAACCCTTTACTCTCTTAAAAGTTACTGAGGACTCGATAGAGATTTTGTTTATGTGGGTTATGTCTATTGATACTATTTTAGAAATAATTTCAAAGATAGTAACTTATCTAAAAATAATAAACTGATTACTTGTTAACAAATTTTTAAATGAATAATAATTCTAAAACAAAAACTTTAGTGAGACTAGTAGCATTGTTTTACATTTTTGCATCACTTTAATTTCTGGCCTATTAGAAGATGGCTAGAGTTTGCTTCTGCTTTCCGTCTGTTGTGATTTATTTTGATTGAGGTATTGTGAAGAGAATCCAGCTTCACATAGGTATGTAGTTAGAAAACTTGATGTATTTTAATCGTCCTTTTAGAAATTGTATGTATTCTTTGATATTACACCAAAATTTGACAAGTGCAGATCTTTTTTTAAAATGTTACTTGCAATATATGAGTACATTGTATTTCAGAATTGTCTCCGAGACCCACAAGAAATCTGTGGACCATATAATTATAGCCTAAGATGAAACCACTGAAAGGGTGGAAAGCGTGATAGCTGTCTTCAGGTGTTTCAGAAACATAAATAGCTGAGAGAGTAGATCCATTCTGCTGTTTTAGAATGTAGACCAGCCGGTGAAAGTTAGAGAGGCATAGATGGAATTCAGTATAATTTGTTGACCAGGATGTAAGAAGTGTAGAGCAGCTAGTGGAAAAAAACTGCTCTTAAAGTATTTAGTGATTCCAGAAACCAGTACTGCAATATATGTTACCTAACAAAATTTAATTTAAATTAAAAGTGTATAGCGATAATTTTTTTTTTAAGATTTTATTTATTCATTTGAGACACAGAGATACAGAGAGAGAGAGAGAGCATGAGCAGGGAGAGAGGCAGAGGGAGAAGCAGGCTCCCTGCTGAGCCAGGAGCCCGGTGTGGGGCTTGATCCCAGGACGCTGGGATCATGACCTGAGCCGAAGGCAGATGCTCAACCTTCCGAGCCACCCAGGCTCCCCTATAGTGATAAGAATTTAAAGCAGTCTACAGGGACATTTTTTTTTTTTTTAAGATTTTATTTATTTGACAGAGAGAGACAACAGCAAGAGAGGGAACACAAGCAGGGGGAGTGGGAGAGGGAAAAGCAGGCTTCCCGCTGAGCAGGGAGCCCAATGTGGGGCTTGATCCCAGGACCCTGGGATCATGACCTGAGCCGAAGGCAGACGCTTAACCGACTGAGCCACCCAGGCGCCCTACAGGGACATTTTTGTGTGGGGCAGAGATTGATTCTTATTTTGGATGTTATTGGATTAAGTGACTTCAGGTCCCGTCCAATTTAAAATGTAAACGTTCTTTGGGTTTTTGAAAATAGCTAAATACTGTAGTTAAATTATATATATATATGCATGAATGATTTTGAATAGTCTCTTTAGTCACTAGTATGAAACTACTGTTGACTTTATTTTGTGTTTT